AAACAATGATTCATGAATTTTATTGGCTATTCTAGATTACATTAACTAAGCTAAAACACACATACACACATACACGCATACACACACACACACACTTTATTAAAAAAATATATTTTTATTATTTTATCAAAAAATAAAATATTTTCATTCCTATTAATTTTAATTTGAATAAGAATTAACTGATGCTAACATCTTCAGCCATTTACAAAAACTTCTGAGTTTGTTTGGAGTGGCCTATTCCAAATGTTAATATGTTCTTTGTTATGACGTCATCTGACACTTTCTGACCCTTAGGTTTCCCTTTTTCTAAATAATCTAGGTGGGATGAAGAGAAATCTTTGGATTATGAATTCTAACAGTATATCAAAAGATCAAGTAAAGTGTTTTTATGAGCCGTTTCTTTTTAACGAACACATATGCATGCCATTTAATGCTCTAGAATGTCTGAGGTGTGGCCTGGTGCTCCAACATGAGTGGGTGACCCAAGTTCCTGTCTCCACCTTCAATAACAATGGCAAAAACCAGAGGTCAAAAGGGGGAAAAGTGTGTGTGAGACATTAACATACAACTGGTTGACCACCCAGAGCAAACTGTCCCATCCTGTAGTTCCTTCATGCTGGAGCTGATGATCAAATAACTGCAGCAGAACTGCCAACTGCTCTCGGCTGCCCATGATGGTGGCCATGTCCTGCAACGGGGAGGCTGGCCGCGGGAACCGGGTCACTGCGAGGGCACATGCACACACACACACACACACACACACACACACACACACACACACAGGAGCAGATTTCAAAACCAAGAATACACCAAAAAAAGAATAACTGCACAAATCATCTGACGTGGACGCCGTGCGTAAATGAAAGAGCACTTTGATAGTGAGCCCAAAACCAGAGAGCAACCTCAACATGGCAGGAACCCTACAGTTACACTGAGTCAGGCGCCAGGTCTGCGTCGCTAAACGTGGCCTGACTGAGAAAGTTAGCGAAAAACGCGTGCGTGTGTTGACGTTGGCCGACCCTCACCCTCGATTGGAGGCACGTCTCCCTGTAGTTTGGCTCGACTGGTGAAGGGGGCGTTCTGAAGCAGCACCGCAAATAGAGACGGGATGAGGGACTGAAGCGCCGACAGATACATATGCAGCTTGTGTTCATCTAGACCATATTCACCCTGCTGGAGGAAGAGAGAGGAATTTAGGAATGAAATAACTGAAGGAAGCTAAAAGAGTGTGTCTGTAGTGCTGGATATGTTGTGCTTAGTTACTTTGTGGGCACACAATGTCTCTAAATGTTCTGAGAAGAACTGCAAAACCTGGGCTGCATTTCCCAAAAGCATCGTAAGCCTTGATTACAATGGTTCTACGATCAACTTAGGCTTGCGATGCTTTTGGGAAACGCAGCCCTGGCAAAATCTTGAAGAAAGTTTGAAATACTTAAATATTTCATTCTTAAGAGTCAATTATAGAAAGAATATTTTATTCTAACAATTTATTCCATTCTATGGATTCAAGATTCCTTTCTATAGATTCAAATGTACAACGTTTAAAAGTTTGGAGTTAAGATTTTTTTATGTTTTTGAAAGAAGTCTCATGTTCACAGAGGCTGCATTTATTAGGTGAAAAATACAGTAAAAACAGTACTTTTGTTAAATATTATTACAATTTAAAATAACTGCTTTCTATTTTAATATATTTTAACATGTAATTTATTCCTGTGATGCAAAGCTGAATTTTCAGCAGCCATTACTGCAGTCTTCAGTGTCACATGATCCATCAGAAATCATCCTAATATGCTGATTTGGTGCTCAAGAAATATTTATTATTATTATTGTCAAATTTTGAAAACAGTTGTGGTGCTCTTTGATAACAAAGTAATACATTTTTTTTTTTTTTTGAAATAGAAACTTTGTCTTTACTGTCACTTTTGCTCATTTTGATGTCCTTGCTAAACAAAAGTTTAAATTTTTTAAAAAACAAATCACAAACCTAAACCATAAAATGGAAAAATGTTATTCTAAATAAATATGCAATTCAGAACAATAGACTTCATTCTCAAGACACAAATATAACAGATTTGAAAATTAGATTCCAAATACTTAAAAATAAAATGATCAAATAATTCTATTCTAAATAGGTTCAAAGATTCCATTCTAAATATTAAACTCTGAAAAAAGATTCAAAAGATTCCATTTGAAAGATAATAAAAGATTTGATTATTTGAGTCTTAATAAGATCCGAAAAAAGATCCGAAATATTCTGTTGTAAAGATTAAATTCAAAAAGCCTTCATGGTTCCAATCTAAAAATTCATTTCTAAAATGATTCTTAAGTATCACTCCAAATAATAAAGTTCCATTATAGTCCATTCTAAATATTTCCATGACATTCTAATTTATTGAGATGCACCTGTATATATATAACAAGTGTTGCAAATTAGCTTTGGCTACAAGCACTATGGTACATGCATGGGATGATTGTTTTTACATTTTCATCTGTTTATTGTATCTGTCCCTAACAAATAAAACATATATATAAAAACTATATAGATTCAAAACAGGCCAGGTGAAGTCTAAACATGCTAAACAAAAGGAAGGGTCTTCACAAGGAAGTTAGTGTGTGTGTGTACGTGCTGGTTTTCACCTTGAGCAGCTTCTCAATGCGTGTGAGGAGGGAGGGGATGAGCTGGGACTGTAAGTTGCCCAGTTCTGTGCACCAGGCAGCGAAGGCAGGAATGAACACTTGGTGGGTTGCACTGACCACCCTCTCTGATGGGTCGCCCAGAGACAACAGCATCAGCTCAAAGCCCTATTACATAGCCATATACAAAATAAAGCAGACTAATATAAGAAAACACTAGTAAAGTAAGTGTAAAAACACTGGATTGTGCTTGAGCACCAAAACATGCACACACCTGGGAGTATTTGTCTGGGTCGTCAATGAAGCCCATTATGATGCCCAAACTTTTCACCACAGCCTCTCGGACCATATCGGCTTTATCTTCCGCCAACATTTGCTGGAGCATGGACAGAACCAGAGAGCTTCGGATCTCCTTCTGTAGACACACACACACCTATACTTGTATTCCCATGCCAGCTCTGAATTGCCTACACAACATCTTTTTTTGTATTCTGCTGTGTTTGATTAAATGATGAAGTGTTCATACTCACGAGGAAGTGAGTAAACATCAGACACTTCATTATAGACTGGAGCATACAAAGGCAAAAAAGGCATAACACCGACAATCAGAGCCCCGTTTGAGCCAAATCAGTTCAGATGTAAAGGCCAGTTTTTTATAGAATTAATAAATGAAAATGAATAAACCTTACGACTGCAACTCTATGATATACAGCCAATGTAAACTCTAGTTACTCAAGTCTTAGTGTCACTAATCCTTCAGAGATAATTCTAATATGCAAATTTGGTGCTAAAGAAACACTTATTGTTATTAGTGTTGAAAAAAGTTAATATTTTTGTGGAAACAGGACATTTTTTATATAATTATTTTTTTAATAGAAAGTTCAAAAGAACAGCATTTATTTGAAATAGAAACTATTTGTAAGAATGCAAACGTCTTTACAGTCACATTTTTATTTTTATTAATTTAATGTGCCTTTGCTGAATAAAAGTATTAATTTCTTTAAAAAAGTAAAAGTACTGACCCCAAACTGTTGAACAGTAGTGTAAAAGACTGGACAATTTTATTCTTAATAAATACACAATTCAGAAAAGATTGAAAGACTTCATTCTCAAGATTCATATACAGTATAACAAAAATTGAAAATTAGATTCAAAATATTAAATTATAAAATGTTCAAATGATTCTATTCTAAATGGATTTAAAGATTTCATTCTAAATATGAAATTCAAAAAAAAAAAAGATTTAAAAGATTTAAAATCTAAAAGATTTTCAAATTTACAATTTAAAAGAATTTAAAATGGAAAAGAGTCAAATATAAAAGATTAGGTCATTTGAGTCTAATATAAATTTTAAACGATTCAAAAGATTCTATTGTAAAGATTAAATGCAAAAAGGATTCAAAGAATCTAGTTTAAAGATCCAGTTCTAAATTGTTTCTAAGGCTGTTTTAATAGATGAACTGCCTGCCGTGTTTAGAATCGAAAAGAAAAAAATCCATTCTAAAAAGATTCAAATATTTCATTATAAAGATTCCATTCTAAACAGATTTTTTCTCTTTTTGATCAATTTAACGTCCTTGCTGAATAAAAGTATTAGTTTTTTTTTAAATAAATAAAATAATAATAAAAAATAAATAAAAATCTTACGGACCTCAAAACCATAATGTCAAAGACTTGCAAATTTTATCCTAAATAAATATGCAACTCGGAGAAGACTGAAAGACTTCATTCTCAATATTCAAATATAACATTTGAAAAAGATTCTGAATATTCATTTACGAAATGCTCATTTGTTTCTATTCTAAAGGAATTCAGAGATTCCATTCTAAATATTAAATGCTAAAAATGTATTCAAAAGATTCCATTTGAAAGAGTCAAATTTAAAAGATCTGATCATTTGAGTCTAAAAATTAATTAAAACAACAAAAAAAAGATTCAATTGTCAATATTAAGATGCAAAAAGGATTCAAAGATTCCAATCTAATGATGATTCCAAGGCTGTTTCACAGCACTAGATGAACAGCCTGCTGAGAGTTCCAACCATAACTCTATGATGTACAGCCACTGTAAACAAACAGCATTCCTCCATAGCACCAAACACACACATGATCAAAGTGGACACAAATGCAAACAGATTCTGCGCTATACTGACATTCGCTGGTTTGATTATTTGATAATTATTATTTGATTATTTCAGCATGCTCTTGCTTGACTACCACTCACCGCAGTTTGGCTAGTGTGATCTTGGATGTCTAGTGTTTTAGCGATCACTAACTGTGACTTTGTTGAAAGGTGAACATGATTAATGTGTCCCAGTTAGACTGCTTTTATATTTAGAGGAACGGAGTCTCTTACGGGTAAATAAGGGGCCAGAGCTCCACATGCTTCCGCCACCAGAAGTCTTCTCTCTGGATACTTGTGGTTGATCTGAGCGAGAGAAACACACATGCGACACAGACGTACACAGACAGCGCAAGACACAACACAGCAGCGTCAGTTCCAGCTCTGACCGCAGGACTGCATACCCACCCGTACCCTCTGTAAACCACATTAGCTCATATTTTTCAGTGTTTAACACTGAAATTGTTTAGGTTATTTCCTCAGCGGAAATAGGTTTCCATGTGGGGAGCTGCGAACGTACTGTACTTTTGAGAGTTTACTTAAAAACTAACAGTAAACATAGGGATAGCTTCAAATGTTTTTGGACAATTTAAATCAGACTTTATGTCTGAGAGCCATCGTAAAAATGACAGAATATTCATAAATACATAATGGATAAAACCTTTCTGAACCATTTTGTAATTACTTTTACATTTTTAAATTACTTTTAAAGGGATAGTTCACCCAAAAACGTACTCACCCTCATGTCGTTCCAAACCTGCAAGACCTTCGTTCATCTTCGGAACACAAAGTAAGATATTTTTAATGAAATCCGAGAGCTTTCTGACCCTGCATAGACAACAACGCAACTGACACGTTCAAGCACCAGAAAGGTAGTAAGTACATCATTTAAATAGTCCATGGGACATCAGTAGTTCAACCATAATTTTATGAAGCTGTGAGAATAGTTTTTGTGTGCTAAGAAAACATAAAATAACCACTTTATTCACCACGTCTTCTATTACCTAGTACCATGACGCATGCGAACAAAGGTCTTATGGATTTGGAATGAGATACAAAGCAATAGAGCAATTAATGACAGAATTTTCATTTTTGGGTGAACTATCCCTTTAACCAACTTTAAGGGTACTTTTTTAAAAACTAAAGTTTAATTATTAAAATCTACAAAGGTTGAAAGAAAAATAAATATATAAATAATTTATAATTAAATTATTATGCATTTTTTTCTGTATTTATCTAATAACAAAAACAATCTTAAAAGACTTAAAAGTATTAAAAAAGACTAAAGTATTAAAAAAATATATATTATTTGAAAATTCAATAAGTATTCAATTATGTTCACTATGTCCACAGAAATCTAATTACTAAAGTCTTTAAGTCCATTTCAAGAGATTTAAATATAAAGATTTCTTTATTTATTAAATATTTGATTTTAAAGTTGAACAAATTCTCTTCGAAAAGGTTCAAATATTCTATTATCAAGATTACATTCTAAATAGATCCAAAGATGCTATTGTAAAAAGATTCAAAAATTCGGTTACATAGATTCCACTGTAAAAAGGTTCAAATATTCCATTATAAAGATTTCAATGTAAAAAGGTTAAAATATTCTATTATTAATATTCCATTCTAAATAGATTCCAATATTCCATTCAAAAAATATTCTAATAACCTACTCCAAAAATATTTAAAAATTTGAAACTGATCAAGTAAAAGCTAAAAATGCTAAAAAATATTTAAGTGTGACTTAAATGTCCAAAAACATTTGAGACCACTTTATGCAACATATTCTACACTTCCGAAGTACTTTTTTTTAGTTATGTAATGTTTTTTTTACACCAAAAATAGTTATAAATGCAGTTTTCCATGACATTATTACACTTCCTCTAACCCTGATAAACAGTAGTTTATTGTGCCACTGCATCTTCTATATGTAAATCAGCCATGCTTTGATTGGCTAACCTTTTCACATATGAAAACTATTACAGATGTACTGATAAAAAAAGTTCATAGGATGTTACAAAATTGTTGTTTTGACCATTTGGTTTGTGTGAATGACTGAGTGTGCCTACAAAGGAATTCCTGCTTTTTTCACAAGTTTTTTTATGTGGTGAGTGTGTGTACGAGTTCAGAACTAACCTGTTCCCAGCACTGTGGTAAGAGTTCAGCTTCCACCCGAGTGGGACCCACATGTCGGGCGAATGCCACACACCCGGTCAGAATCATCTGCCTGGAGAGGAAGATTACAGCAGAGTGTTATCAAACTCGTAACAAAACCGATTTTTTTTGGTCAGTTTACACATGCGCAGATGCCCAAATGCGCACACACCTCTGCTCATCGTCAGGTCTCTTGATAAGATTAAAGAGGATGTGCAGTAGCTGGTCTCTTTCTTTGGGCTCGGGATGCAGGCAGGCCGTACACAGAATGAGAGGAATCAACTCCTGTGGACACACACAGGAACGCAGGTCATATAATATGCAATGCACAGGGAAATAAACACACACATGCATCCGCTGAGACACGTCCCAAAGGGCTCGGACAGGGAACTTCAGCAAGCAGGTATTTGAGGATATTGGGGAAAAAAAACTTCTCTATTGAAGAAACATCTTCACCACAAAGGAGAGAGTCTACAAGCCACTCAACCACAGCACCAACTAGGGCTGGGTGATATATCGGATATTCACGGCATGTTTGCAACTATGTTGTTGGTGCTATAATATTTAGAAACACTGTATAGTGAAGTAATTTTGATTTGGATATTAATTTTCTTAAGTCAATTCTCATGATCTCACAATTCTCGAGTTTGACAGCACTTACAGATTTAAACTAATAACGTTAGAGTTGGTAAATTCACTGAATCAATTAAAAACTGTAATTCGATTTTTATTTATTTATTTATTAAAAAGCATGGCATCTTTATTAAGTAAAAATACATTTCCAAACATGTTAACAAATATGACATCTATCTATTTATCTATCTATCTAGACAGACAGATAGATAGATGTAAGTGAGGATAGCAAAATAAAGTAAACATACTGAATTACACCTAAATATTCTTCATACAGTGGACTACCAGTGAAATTTATTTCACATAAAATTATTCAGACAGTTTGACCTGACCATGTTTTGCTTAAGTGTTTTTTCTTTAACTGCTAATGCAACCTTTTTACACCACAGATTGTACAAAATTAAGCATCAAAATCAATAAACTGAGATAATGTGAGAAATGTTGAAGGTGGTTGACTGTATTTATTTATATATATGTGACCCTGGAGCACAAAATCAGTCATAAGTAGCACAGGTATATTTGTAGCAATAGTCAACAATACATTGTTTGGGTCAAAAATACCGATTTTTCTTTTATGCCAAAAATCATTAGGATATTATAAGTAAAGATCATGTTCCATGAAGATATTTTGTAAATTTCCTACTGTAAATATATCAAAACTTAATTTTTGATTAGTAATATGCATTGCTAAGAACTTCATTTGGACAACTTTTTTTGCACCGTCAGATTCCAGATTTTCAAATAGTTGTATCTCGGCCAAATATTGTCCTATCCTAACAAACCATACATCAATGGAAAGCTTATAGTGTATACATTTTTGTCCAATTTCAAATAATTGACCCTTATGACTGGTTTTTTGCTCCACACACACACACACAAACACACACACACACACACACGATTTTTGTAGTGCTGTCAAACGATTAATCGAGATTAATCGCATCCAAAATAAACGTTTTTGTTTACATAATATATGTATGTGTACTGTGTTTATTTATTATGTATATATAAACACACACACATTCAGTATATATTTTGAAAATATTTACATGTACAGTATACACATTTATATATTATTTTATATAAATATATTTAATATATAAACAACATATTTTTCTTAAATAGATACATGCATGTGTTTGTAATTATATATACACACAGTACACAACTCATATATTACGTAAACAAAAACCTTTATTTTGGATGCGATTAATCGTTTGACAGCACTAGACTTTTGCTTTATGACTTTCCCATTTACTATTGGATTTTCAATATTTCTGTCGGGAAAATCATTTTTATAACATGACATTCCCATGATCTTTTACGATTTAATTTTTTTTGCAGGCCTAGATATCACACTTTTGAAAAACTTTTCAAACTTTTCCAAAAGCTATTATATACTGGATTTTATGGCTGTATAATGAAGGTTTGGTTTAAAAAAAAAACAACACAAATAAACAAATATAGAAATATACCGAATTTTGTCATATGGCTTAAAATGATTGATATATATTGCCCAGTCCTAGCACAAAGACGTATTGAAGTGCGTTTCTGTATCAGGATGTATGCGGATGTGTATAAACGTGACATTCTCTAAAGTATGTACAAAGCCATTTAGCCATGTAAATCAGTGGTTGTTTACCGTGAGACGCAGTTATGAAAGAAAACCTCACCAGCACGACAGATATCACATTACAGAACAGGCAGTGTGCCCTTGGTACACGTCTCATGGCCAAACAGCGGTTACTAGCCCTATTTTCCACAAAGATCCAGAATAGAAACAACAGATCAGGATTCACAGGAAGATTCGACACAGAAGTGTTTATTTTCTCTAGATTTATCTCATCTTGAGACGTGACTGTGGGTAGACTTCAGCCTCGAACAGGCACTTTAAAGTGAAAGACAGTTAAGCAAACATGCGGCAAGACTGCAGGCTGTTTGACGCCGTGCTTGTTTGTTTGGACGGCTCTTTCAATACACCCGCTTCTGTGGGGGAAGTCACCTGCCAAGAGTTAAAACCATAATTTTAATCGGATGTCAAGAGATGTTATGAAAGTAAGGGTTGGTCTGTTGGAGACGGCAATGAGCCGTTTCATCAGTAGTGACTCTGTGTGAGAGTGTGGCATTATGAGGCAGCAGTGCGCAGCGTCTCCTGCACCTGGAGCAGAGCTTTCAACAGAGGCATATTTATGAAATAGTTTATTTGGCTCTGGTCCAGAGTGAAAGTGTGGAAATGTGTGAGTGGAGACCGGAACTTTTGTGGAAGAGCTACTGGAAAAAAACAAAACAAAACAAAAACAATTAGAAGCAGGCATTAAGAATGGGAAGAGCTTTGAGACTTAACCAATAAATAAATGCACACACTAATCGTATTCGGGCCCTATTTAAACAGATGATTTTTCAAAGTAAAGTAAAGTAAAGTAAAAGTAAAATAAAACGGCAATGCATCAGATAAAAATAATAAAACTAATTATTCTAGACGGTTCTGACACTTTGACCAAAGAATGTCCATAAATTTTGACCAAACAGATGATTTTTCCAAGGAAAATAAAATAATAAAATAAAATATACAATTCTCATTGCATCAAACAAAAAAATATCAATCAAATGATTTTAGATGGTTCTGACACTTTGACCAAAGAATTTCCATAAATTTTGACCCAAAAAATTCCATAAATATTTTGTTATAACACTGTATTTTGTTTTGTAATTAATACATTTTCTTTCGGTCTTTTCGGTAAGTCAATAAGTCTTTCGGTGGTGCATTTTGCTAAAAACAAAAAACAAAACAAAGACAAACAAAAAAACACTACTTATAATTGTATTTAGGCCCTGTTTAAACTATAAATAAAACTAAAACTAAACTACACTAAAAATAATAAATAAATAAAATCTTATTTGCTTAAATAACAAAAAATAAAAAACAGAGGGTTCTTACACTTTGGCCAACGATTTTCCATGAATTTACCATGACTTTCCATTATTTTGTAATTTTGAAAAAATAATTTTTATATATTTTTGTTATAACAATGAATATTGTTTTATTATTAATAAAAACATTTTTTTTTTAGTTATAATTTATAAATAAAATGGCTTTGTAATGCATTTTGCTTGACAAACTTTATTTACAATAAACGCCAACTTGTTTGATATTTTTTAATCAAATGCAATAACATTTGTTTGTGGCATGAAGTGTCCAAACATTTTTGTTGGCAAAAATGCAAAAAATAAAATCTGTTCTCAATATCTAAACAAAAAAGGAAAAATACAAAACAAGAACTTGCACGTTTGGATTCCTTGTCACTCCAAATTGTTTCCCATGAAAACTTGTATTTATATGCAAATTTTCTGTTATACCATCAGCCTGCATTGACTCATTGAATCAAGATAATTACCAGCAGAAAGCAAAGAGGCCCAATCAGAAATACACCCACATGAAGAATTTTGGACTGTTGCAAACACACAGTGTACCAGATGTCTTATCAGTTTTACATGGTAATCAATAACTTGAATGGCCTTTAATTCCGAAAGACTCTATCTTTACTATAAAGTTCTTGTAGGTGTACAGATGACAGGAATTATATTGTAAGGCAGGTGTTCCAACAGCGCCCGATAAGTAATTGTTCTGCACCAGATGGGGAAAAACTGAGGGTGTGTCAGAGTGAGTGTGTGTCTGAATTCAAGGAAGAAGGTTACGAAGCCAACAGAATTAACAGGCAAAGCTCAAAGTCCAGTTTAGCGAGGAAATCTCTACTCCTCGTGTGGTGTTTGCTTTCACCCGACTTCAGCCTGGAAAGCATCCAATCCATCTTAAACTGTCACCTGTCTCCCGTAAAACACAACTGCCCTATGCAAATCAGAGGGGCCCAACAAGGGAAATGCTGTGGAACTTGCTTGGAACGGTACACACCTTTGTGTCTGCTCTCAACAGATGTGCAATGTGTGCATGTACCTTGTGTTTTTTTCTAAAAGTGTAGTCATTTAAACCAAATCAGCTCTGTAATAGGGGGGCAAAGAAAACAATTGAACAAGGTTTCATACTGAATAGCTGCAGCCTGAAGCACAGAAAAATCACAGCATAGAAATGTTCCATTGGCTTGGCTGTCAAAAGTTTAACTTGGAGTTATTCGTCTGAAATTGCTATTTAGTTTTTTGAAAAAAAATAAAGCTACTCAGTCACTATTTATAAAACAAAGTTCAGAATACACTTTTTTTCGTCAAGCAATGTTTGAAGTTGTTGTCAAATATATATCTGCACACCTGTGACAACAACTGTAAACGGCTAAGGACTAATTAACTATATTTATCTGCAGAAAAATATTATATTTTGACTATTATTAACAATTTTAAGTATTAAGTTCTGTTTTCTGAAAAATGTATCAAAATTAAGTGAGTTTTTGCTTAAAACGAGAAAAAATATCTGCAAATGGGGCAAGAAAAATAATCTGGTTTTTACTTTTTACAAGATTTTTTTGTTTGTTTTTACCCCATTGGCAGATATTTTTCTTGTTTTAAGCAAAAACGAACAAGACAAAAATACTAAGTAAAAAAATCATTTTTTTGCAGTGGGGCAGAATACCTGAGTGCAAGATTAGCCATCAATATTTTTCTGTTATGTTTTCCAAGAAAATAAAGACATTTTAAAACATAATTTTGACAAAGCTGAAAGAAACTAAAATATAAAAGCACCAATAATAATTTAATGGTGGTCAATAATAAACCATTACTACTCCATTGTCAAATATTTGCCCTTATTTTGCTATTTTCCCAGTTTTGTATGTATTGCTTGTTTTGCAGTATTCACTTTATCATAAATATGACAACAAAAGTTCAGATGATTAAAAAAAGAGAATGTATAAACACTTCAGAAAAACATTACTTAAATAAAACATTATTGTTTATATATCATTATTAACTACTAGTAATACTAATATTACAAATAATAATAAAATTATTAATTAATTAGATTATTGCTGTGAATTAGTTTACCTTATTAGTCTAAAAAATTACATTTAGAGCTTTATCAGTTTAGAAGTTCAGTACAAAGCAAAAGTTCACAGTTGAAAATAATCAATCAATAAAAAAAGAAATAATGCATTTGAGTCACTGACAACTAAGGAAGCTGATGAAAAGCCAAGCCAACTGAAAGGTCAAAGGTCAGGAAGGAAGCAGGGCTGATGTGAGAACGTGCCGATGTGTTCCACTCACCTGACAAAGGTGCACAACCATTCTCTATCGGAGCAGTGAGATGCATGCACAAAAGCAAGAGAAGAAATGAGTGAACAGAACAAAAAAGAGGTGGATTGGGTTTGGGGTATATAGAGAGAGAGAGAGAGAGCGAGAGAGAGAGAGACATACACACACAACTGCAATGGAAAAAAAATAATTAGAGTCAACGTTGAATTAAGAATAGAATGAGAGGGAGAGGCCAGCCGCAGTGGACATGGAAGATGAGGTGGGACTGTTGGGTCAAAAGGTCATGGGTTACCTCTCGCTTGGCCAGCAGGACATTGGGTACGATGTGTGGCAGACAGCGGCCCAGCATGAGCATGACGCTCTGCTCGCTGTCAGCTATTCGAGACACCTGAGAAACGAGGACATGGGAATTAGGCACAAAAATGTCGCCACATAAAAGCAAGCAGAGGCAAACATGTCAGACATTTCATTTAATCACACGTGCCTAAAAATGACTGCATAACTGCAACCTGAGAACCTTTTCTGCTTTTGTAATCTGGACATAGAAGACACTACGAACTCCGAGACCTCTCAAACGTGCCTATTAATGCATTCCTGGTCATTCTGAAAGCAACTGAACCGCTTCCAGTGCACTTCTTTCTATTCTAATGACTGGTCATAATCGTTAAAGGAAGAGTTTACTCAAAAATTATGTTCCAAACCTGTATGACTTTCTTAATAAAATAAAACATGACTTATTCTAAGTTTGAAGCCATATGATAGCATTAATTATTATTTTAGCTTTTTTTTTTTCTATATTATAGAACTTATTAATACTTTGTATTAGGATTTTTTTATATTTTAATATTAATTGATTTTAATTTATGTATTTTTGCATATTTTTATATTTCACTTTTCACTAAAATTTCACAGGATTTTATTTCATTTTCCATTTTTAGTTTTAGTAATTTTAGTGCTTCCATTTCAACAAACTCACTTTTTCCACTTAATTGCCAAAGCAACATTTTTGTTTTTTTATCTAATATTTATATTTATTTTAGTGCTATCAAACGATTAATTGCATCCAAAATAAAAGTTTTTGTTTACATAATATATGTGTGTGTACTGTGTATATTTATTATGTGTATATAAATACAAACACATGCATGTATATACTTAAGAAAAACATGTTATGTTTATATATTAAATATATTTTTAGGGCTGTGCGATATTGCATCCATGCTATGTGCTACGTGTGTGTTTCTGCTTGCCCTGTGTTACCCCTGGTTTTGGATTATTAAAGACTGTTGTTCAGGGCCGGCTCCAGACATGGGCAGGGGTGGGCTGAGCCCACCCAAATGACTATCTTGCCCATCCAATCAGAATTAGATAAAGTCTGCGTTAATTTTTTTATGCAAATACGGACTGTATTTTGAGAAGTTTAAGATATAGCTGGAGACTGCCCCAACAATAATAAAATAACACCAGAAAATTGCAGCATTTTTCT